GGTAGAGTTCAATCTGAAACATCTAGACCTTGAAATCTTATATCATTATGTAATCAGTTATGATATCCGTACATATCATGTTAGTATACGACAAGCTGCACCAATTTACATTTCATATTTTGCAATATTTATATCATAGTCTTAAAAGTTATCAGAAAATGACTTCCCCAAAAAATTATCCTTATAATCGAAATCCATTTTTGAGACAAACTCAGACTTCTTTAGGTATTTTTATATTGACATCAGTTATGTCTTCTTCAAATACACATGGTATAAAAAAATATTGAGAATCTCAAAAGGTAATCAATACGTTATGATTTTTTAATAGAATCGAAATCCATGGTAAGTGTTTTCTGAACAATAAAAGTTAACATATTGAGCAGTTAATATGTTTAGTTTTATCTTTTTGTTGACATGTCCTTAAAGAAATGAAGAAACATAATTTGGCTTTAGTCAATGGATTCAGTTTTCAATTTTTTTTTTATAAAACTAGTTGTGAATTAGACTTCTCTACTGTAAATTTCAATTATGATTCAGTAATGGAACCATTGTGGACATCTAATTCTGTAGCTTTTAATAATTTGCACATAGCTAGTTTTAAAAAATTTGGGGGGAATCGATAGGAAGAGTCAGTAAAAAAAATTGCCTTTATAAGGAAGGTAAAGAGATTTTTTAAATTTTTACGTGTGTCAGGGACACTGATAGCATCAATTTGCACCATTCCAAGTTTCAATCAGATGCCTGTGGTTCATGCATTGCCAAAAAAATTTTGAAAACCTCTTTACAATCCCTTTACATTGTTTAAAATCTTGAAAAGGACACTGTAACAGAATCTAATAATCTTAACATGTTGATTGCCTACTGCACAAGGAACCACCATGTACACAGTTAAATGCACTATCAGTTCTATTGCAAATTGCCCATACAAATGATCACAATATTTGCATGTAAGGCAGCACAATTTTCGAAGATATTTTGTTTCTGTAATTTATAACTGATTCCACATTGAACCAAAAATCCTAAACCTGACCAAAGAGAGTTAAAATATTACAGCGTAAGAACATGCAACTAGTAAAATTGTGGCTTACTTTTCGTAACTAAAAGTTTCAGTACTGTATTAATATTACTACATCAAAAGGTTTCGACGAAAAGGTTAAATTACTAACAGTTTTGATCTAATATTATTTTCTCTGTTTTTAGAATCTGAAGTAATAAAAGATGTTGAATTAAACAATTCAAGTAAAGAACGTTCTATGTCTCCAAGGTTGGTATCATTTCCTAAGATTTTGTTTTGATTCAGAAATTTTTGGNATT